ATAATTTCAAGAACAAGAAAAATGGTGAGCTAAATAAATAAATTATAATTTACTTTTACAAAATGCACTTTGATCTTCATTAACACAGGCATTCTTAAAAAAATCAATATTTAAGCATTTTATGAAACTAAAATAAAACAAATAAACAAGCAATTACAGAGAACTTTATAAATTCAATTAAAAATAATAAAAGAAAACGATAAACTAATGACTCTAACTAGTGGTTAAACTTTTTATCGTACTATAGTTCAAAAACTATTTGGTCCAGAGTGCTGCCATTTTACCACACTTTGGAAAAAATAATATGCCACTTTTTCTTATGCTCAACATTAGAGTGGAAATTCCTTATGCATCTTCATAAAGTTTTCTCCCATAGAAGGCTTAATTATAACATCTATTATGAACAAGAGAGAGCTTATTTAAAATAGTTTTCTATGTGAATGTTATATCAAATGCTACACATTACCCAACTATGATTGAGGATCTACCCTTATTTTTCTCCACTTTTATGTTTTAACCGCCATGTGCAACTCCACATAATTTTGCTCAAAATCAGACAATGTGGACAGTGCCATGTCTGGTATCCCTATCTCCAGATCACATATTTCTATTCTCTTTATTTCCCCACCACAATCCTTCACAGGATTTTCACCAACAACAGATTTAAAGAGCATCTTGCTGGATGTTTAGTCGGCTACAAGGATTGATCTCACCCCCAGTAATATGGGAGGAGCCTTTAACTGATATTATCACTGTAATGCTATTCACACATTACACTAGATCAGATTTCTTTTTTTTTGTTATGAACAGCAAGGTGTGCAGTTAAATTGGCTCTTCGTGTGAATGTTTTATCACATACACTGCATGAATGAGGCTTCTGCCCTGTATGAACAAATTTGTGTCTATATAAACTAACTCTTTGTGCAAATGTTTTAGTGCACACTTTGCACGAATAAGGTTTCTCTTTAGTATGAACAACACGGTGCTCGTTTAAAAGAAATTTATGTGCAAATGTTTTATCACATAAATTGCACGAATAGGGTTTCTCTCCAGTGTGAACTGGATAATGCCTATCAAAATTTATTTTATGTACAAAAGTTTTATCACAAAGATTACAGGAAAAAAGCTTCTCCCCAGTATGAATAGCAGAGTGTGCATTTAAATTGATTTTACGTGTAAAGGTTTTTCCACAAACACTGCATGAGAAAGGCCTTTCTCCAGTATGAACAAGAGAATGTCTCCTTAAATCAGCTCTCTGTATAAATGTTTTATCACAGATACTGCAAGAAAAAGGCTTCATTCCAGTATGAGAAAGATAATGCCTATCCAAACTGGTTTTCTGTGTGAATGTTTTATCGCATACACTGCATGAATAACGGTTAATTCCTGTATGAACAAGAAAGTGCCTATCTAAACTGGATTTCTTAGTGTATCCTTTATCACATTCACTGCATGAATATGGCATTTCTCCTGTATGAATAAAATTGTGTCGATACAAACTGGCTTTGTGTGCAAAAGTTTTATCACACACACTGCACGCAAAAAGTTGCTCCATGGTATGTTCAGCTAAACTTGATTTTTTATCAGGCGCAGTGCATGAATAGTGTTTTTCAACACTATGTACAAGAGAGTGTCGACTTAAACCAGCCTTTTGAGAGAATGTTTTATNATTCACCGCATGAATAAGGCTTCTCCCCAGTATGAACAAAATAATGTCTAGTTAAATTAGATTTCTGAGTGAATGTTTTATTACATACACAGCATGAATAAAGTTTTTCTTTAGTATGGACAACGCAATGTTTATTTAAATGCACTTTTTGTGCGAATGTTTTATCACATACACTGCATGAATATGGCTTCTCTCCGAAATGAACAGAGTAGTGTCGATTTAAATTGGCTTTTTGTGTGAAAGTTTTATCACACAAACTGCATGAATAAGGTTTTTCTACAGTAGAAACAACTGATAGTGCATTTAAACTTCCTTCCAAAGTGAATGTAAAGAATAAGACTGCTCTACAAGATAAACAAAATAATGTTTGCTAACACCTGAGAATGTGTAATATTATACGCTGAATAAATAAGAGTTCTCTCCAATGTAATGCTCGGTGTTTGTATAAAAATTATTGTTTTTAAATTACTCATTAACGTTCAAATAATACATAATTGGAGCTATTTTTTTAAGCACAGATGGGAGAAATTTTACTTTTTATTTTGAAAGTTTTATTCAAAGACTCATCCTATGTGATGTAGGAAACATATCTTTAAACCATTGTCATAATTACCCTTTTCTGTGACACACATATTTACTATTTACACAAGCTTGTGATGTCATTATAAATTTTTGCTAAAAGCCATATGACTGTTTATTTCTGCTCAGCTTTAGCGATAAGTGGGTTCAAATAATTAAATAAACAAATCTCATAAGTCAATTTTTATTGTCGTTTAGAACTATTTTTTACATTTTCTAATTTACATTGTTTTTTTATTTAGTTAATCAACATTTTCATAGAGTTTGGAACCTTATCTTGGAGTTAACACAGTTAAGACTGAAATTTCAATTCCATTCAAGTTTTAGAATCTGGCAGTAATTTGT